TGACATTTGCAGGTGTATGAATCTTCAATATTAACGCAGAGTTGGTCACATCCATGATTTATGGACTTGCAGACATCTTGATCTGAATATATCAAAGAGTTTCATTTATAAATTTGTTTTATGCAACAGGTCACAGCAATGACTTTCTAATGAAGATCAAGCTGCTTACTTCTGCAGGTCTTCCCATCATCCTTTAATATATATCCTTCGTGGCACTTGCAGATATAGGAGTAATCATCATTGACACACAAGTGCTCACAGCCATGAGCTACGGAGTTGCAGACATCTTTACCTACAGATAATTTCAATAATTCATACAGTTTGTTGGGTGACAGTAACACAGAAAGAACAGAGACAAATATGAGAAAGAGTAAATAAAATCCAAACCATATTCAGACTTAATACAGTTGTCAAAATGAATCTACATGATAAATAACAGAGCAGTATTCAGTGTGTAATTTCTGCAGATCACTTTTCTAAGTACAGAAGATGGATAAACCATTTCATTTCCCAAAATTGTTCACAGTTCATCATCATAGTTTTTGTTTTTGCCAGGATGAAGAATGGTCAACTAAAGCTCCACCAGCTAGAAGCATCCATCTCTTAACTTGGTTTCATTGCATTTCTCAGCATTTCACAGGTTTTGTTCTAATATCGAGGGTTGGGAATATGCACACACTTTTAGAACAAGTGTTAAACAAGTCAAAGCAGAATCCATGGGCTAGTCAATGGATGGATAACAATTTAGTATTGGATTGAATAAAAACCCACAGTTGTTAGCTGACCCAAAACAATGGGTGGACAGGAGCACCTCTTTCCTTTCACTCCCCTTAATTCATTGGTTCCCAACCTGTGGTGTGTGGACCACCAGTGGTCTGAAATAACTAAAATATGGTCCGTGGCCTCACCATTATTACATTGCTGCAATAAGAGCAACAGGTCTTCTGAAACTTTCTGATAGTGCCCAGGCTTATTAAATATGGTTACTGGATGTTATGTATCGGAAACTAGAGCTGATGTGGTCTATCCAATGCAGTTTTCTGAATCAGCATTCCAAATAGCCAAACTGAATCTAAAGTTGACCAAAAACTGATTCATAACCCTTTTGGTGCTCATTTCAGAGAGTAGTCCCTAGTAAAAGTGGTCCCTGGTCAAAAAAAGATTGGGAATCACTGCTTTAATTCATTCATTGATACCTCTTCATTTTATTCTCTATCTGATTTGCATTCCTGTCCACACAAATCTGTCCCCTGGAAACAATGCTCACCCCTGGAAACAATGATCTTGAGTGTGCCAGGATTGCTAGAGGGGTTGGAAAGTGAAGTTGATGACTCCTATCTCAGCAATCCCAATGAAGACCACTGTTTCCTGTTTGCTATTTTCCTATGGAAACTGTTGATCTTGGCTGTGTTAGACTCACTCTGGGAAAGGTGCAGGTTCTACTGACCATTTAATGTGGCTCCAACCCAACTGGAAACTGTGGCAGCCACAAAATACACTTCACTTCACTTTATTTCTTAATTAGTCGCTCTCCACCAAGGTGCTCCGAGCGACTTACAATCTAAAATAGCATTTACACAACATAAAAACATTCAACATAAAAACATTCAACATGACTATTTGGCAAATTAGATCTGATTACTTAAATGCACAACCAAACAGCCAAGTCTTGAGTGCCTTTACAAAAGGTCGCAACTCTGACATTGCTTAATGTATGGAGGCAATGAGTTCCACAGAATTGGAGCATAGGTCGAAAAAGCTCCATGCCTTGTAGCTTCCAGGTGTACCTCCCTAGGGCCGGGTATGTATAGGAGATTTTCCTGGGTGGATCGAGGTGACCACTGATGGAGAAAAGGAATGAGGTGGTCGCTAAGATATAAAGGTCCTTGGCCACCAATACATGCCACCAATGTGCACTGCAGTTCAGATTAAAGAGTATATACCACATTAAAGAAAGTTGCGGGAAAGTGCAAATTAAACTGTTTTATTGCATTGCAGCATATCCCAATGCATCCCAGATTATAGGATGAAATCAGCTCTACAGAATGCGGAGCATATTTTAGACACCAATCCTTCTTGAAACACATTATAGAATGGGAGATGCCAAAAAGTTCCCTATGGACTTGGCTAACCTCCTCTCCTAACTCTCTTTCTCCCCTTTTCCCACCTCCTATGCCTCTTGAGTGCTGATGCAGATCTCTCCTGGAAATAGAGGAATAAAAAAAACAACAACCCACAGAGCAATTTAAGACCAGGTTCCATGGTAAATGTAATTACCTTTCTGGCCTTATACTGGTTCCAGACCAGTCAATCTAATCACCCATGCAATGAAACCAGTTCCTCCCAAATTGGTTGAAGCTGCATTATAGTCCCAGCATAGATGTACCCATAATTCAACACTTCCTTCCACAGCAATGCTTTTGATGGTTCTAGGACTCACAGCATTGGATTCCAATTATAGGAAAGGAAATTACACCTGAACATTAGGAAGAAGATCCTGATCAACAGTGGAACTCAGTGCCTTGGAGTGGAGTGGAGGCTCCTTCTTTGGATGTTTTTAAACAGAGGCTGGATGGCCATCTGTCGGGGGTGCTTTGATTGTGCTTTTCCTGCATGAGAGAAGGGGGCTGGAATGGATGGCCACGTAGTGTCTTTCAACTATGATTTTCCACCATATTGATAAAAATCAATCTATCTGGGCAGCATGGGCATGTGGTATGGGCTCTCCACTGCTCTGTGGGCTACACTGAAAGTAGTCAGTGATAACAATAGCATGGGGGCTATAGTGAACAATGGGAAGCATCCATACATACACAAAAATGATACTGGGTGCATCTACACTTTAAAATTAAGGCGGTTTGTCGCCACCTTAACTGCTATGGCTCAATGTTATGGAATCATGAGTGTTGTAGTTTGGTGAAGCACTAGGACTCTGTTAGAGAAGGCCAAAGTCCTTGTAAAACTACAACTCCCATGATTCCCAAGCATTGAGCCATGGAAATTAAACTGGTGTTGATTGGCATTAACACTACAGTGGAGATTTTTTCTTCCACACATTGTTTCTCACACCACCTCTAAATGCCTATGTGTTCACCTAGTGATCAAGAGGAACAATTTGCATGGACCATGCTGCACCTTCACTTACTCTGTTAGCAAAATAGATAAAAATGAGATGAATGAGACTTCACACCTGAACAACTGGGAACAAAGTGCAGAAACGGGCTCTGAAACCAAAACCTTCAGAATGAATAATCTTACTTCCATGTTTTCTTACTTCTGCAGCTTTTCCCATCTTCCCTCAGGACGAATCCTTCATGACATTGGCAGACATAGGAATTGCCATCATCACTGACACAAAGGTGTTCACAGCCATGCGCTACAGATTTGCAGACATCTCTATCTAGAAAAAGTCAATACATTTTTTCCAGCACCTCACACGAACAAAGAATTTAAATGATCATCTAGTTTTGGCTCCACTTTTTAACAATCTCTTACATTTGTCATCAAATTTCAGAATTGTACTTAAAGTCCCCCCAGGGGTGAGAAAGGCGGTATATAAATACTGTAAATACATAAATAAATAATAAAATGCTAGTCAAATCTGCAT